AAAACAGAACTTATAAATGAGACTCATAATACCATAACAGAAAACTCATAGAAAGTCTAAGTTTTGTAAATTGCAATGAGAATGGTTTCAAAAATTCGAAAAATGGTGGGTGTATGTACGATGAAAAAAAAGTGCACTGTCGAGAAACGAAATTTTTTTATTGCACTCCCTAAAAATTTTTTGCCGGCCCGCGCATGGATATCATTGCATTAGGACCCCCGTTTTTGACATGAGTCATTTTTAAGGCTTTTAGTAAAATGCTCATAAAAAATCGAGGGATCGATATTTTTCGAAACGGCTTTCGTCAAAATTCTTAGAACGATTCCCTCTGTAACATATATTAAATTGAGCAAAATCTGACGACATCGATTGAGCAGAGTCGGTCGTGGCTTATATGAAATGGCTCTTATATACTCTTGAAAAAAAATCGATAAGGAATTGGAAGTGTGATATTCATGTATTTTGTCAATGACAAAAGTTGTCGAACAGCTAATGCATAAAACATAAACTGATGACAAACAAATAAATATGTAAACTAGAATTAAGTTATTCTTTTTTTTTGTTAAACTGAAAAAAAATGCTAGAATGTGAACAAATCATTTTCTGAATTATTTCAAACAAGAGGCGAGAAACAAAAGGCTTTGTTCTAGACAAATATGTTTGTTGTGATTAGTTGTACAAATCGTCATCACCACTACCACGACCACCACCTCCACCTATAGAAAGAAAAAAACAAAGCAAAGTTTAGAAACGAAAAATTAGCATAATGTTTTTTTTTATTTACCACTTTAATCAGGAAAACGAAATTGTGTACCAAAACCTCGTGATTGTTGTAATGTTTGAGCAAACATTTCATATTTACGTATATCATTATCACTAACTGATCGTCGTGCAAATTTCGTCGCTTTTTCAAAATGATCTCGACGAATTTCTGGTAAAAGATCCGGTTCATTTGCATCGAATGCTGTTTGTCTAGTACGTTGTCGTTCTTTTTCAATTGATTCACGTATAGCTAATTTACATGCACGTTGGCATATTTCTGTTAAATCAGCACCGCTAAAACCATTTGTAACATTAGCCAAATGTCGCAAATCAACATCTCTGGCTACAGGTGACTTTCTTAAAGCAGCTTTAAGAATAGCTACGCGAGATTTTTCATCAGGTAGTGGAATATAAATTAATTGATCAAGACGACCTAAATATTAAGAATATTGCTTAATTCAATAAGAAGACGAACGATCATTTCGATATTCTAGTATTTATTCAGCCAAAACTATCTCATCCATTTAAAGTTGTCGAGAGTTTTTAGACATGAAAGAAGCTTAATATTTTCGCAGACTCTGTGTAAAAACTTGGAAGAAAGAAACTATCTTCCGGCATCGAAACCTACATCACTATTCTTATTTTATATAAATAATCAAGATTTATTATCGGATCAAACAAGCTCGTAATTTTCTTACCTGGTCGAAGAATAGCTGAATCAATAATATCCGGTCGATTTGTGGCACCAATAATAAAAACATCCTTTTTGGCACTCATACCATCCATCTCAGTTAAAAGTTGATTGATAATACGATCAGCAGCAGCACCACCATCACCAACGCTACTACTTCGAGATTTAGCTAAAAACAAATTCTATGATTATTATTCGTGTCTTTTGTTTTTTGCTTTCTTACCGATTGAATCTAATGCATCAAAGAAGAGTATACATGGTGCAGCTTGACGGGCTTTATCGAAAAGAACATGTACATTAGCTTCTGATTCACCAAACCACATTGTTAATAATTCAGGACTTTTAACTGAAATGAAGTTTGCTTGACATTTATTAGCAAGAGCTTTTGCTAATAATGTTTTACCTAAAAATTCAATATTAATAGGAAAACAGGAAAAATATATATATATATTAACATACCACAACCTGGTGGTCCATAAAGGAGTACACCACGTGATGATGTCATACCCCATATTAAAAATTTTTCTGGATGTTCAATTGGATATTCAACAAGTTCTTGTAATTCACGTTTAACATTTTCTAAACCGCCAATATCTTCCCAAGTTACAAATGGTACTTCAACAACAGTTTCACGTAAAACTGATGGAATTGATTGATTAAGTGCAAAACGAAAGTTATCTTGTGTAACATCTAATGAATCAAGAACTTCATAATCTATTGTATCTTCTTCTAAATCAATAACATCCATTTTTTCACGAATTTGTTGTAATGCTGCTTCTGAACATAATGATGCTAAATCAGCACCAACATAACCATGTGTTTCATTAGCAATTTGTACAAGATCAACATCTTCACCTAATTTCATATTTTTTGTATGTATACGAAGAATTTCTAAACGACCAACAGCATCTGGTATACTAATATCAACTTCACGATCAAAACGACCAGAACGACGAAGAGCTGGATCAATTGAATTTGGTCGATTTGTTGCTGCCATAACAATAACATGTGGACGTTGTATAAAACCATCCATTAATGTTAATAATTGTGAAAAAACACGACGTTCAACTTCACCATGAGTTTTTTCACGTTTCGGTGCAATGCAATCGAGTTGATCAATGAAGATAATTGCTGGAGAGTTCTAATAAAGGATATATTCTAGTTTATTAGAAGAAGATTCGCCCAGAATGACAAGAAGTTTTAAATCCGAAATCAAAAACAGTACAACATCAGATCGCAAAATTTCTCAAACGAAAAAGATAGGATGCTAGTTAAATTCAGGAAGAAAAGTGTGGCATGGCTTGATTGTTTATTCTGCATCTTGCAAGATCTTACTCTAAATCTCAGTATTATGTTATCGTAAAATAGAGTAGAGGAGAGTAAGGGATGATTCTTCTGAAAAAACAAGTATGATTAACCTTTTTATTCGTCATGTACTTCTAACGCCAATCTCTTCCAGATTGGTTTTTCTTCTTCCGAAGACGACAAGTATGTTTGTAAGAAATTCAAGTGATAGACCGACTGCACTATGCGTCGGGTTTATCTTTCTGTCTAAAGTAGTAGGCGATCTGCAAAACATGAGGTATTTCTTCCCCGCTCAATTCCCAATCCTAATGACCAATTATCTCTCTAATACGATCGGTATAGACACATCTGAGTATTTTCTACTTCGTAATTTCTTCAAAACGATGAAAGCGCTGTAGCTAAAGTGTTGATCTTAAAGGAGCCTCTTTGTCTTTAGTTTTCAAGATACTTTTTTTTGCAAATCTGATACAGCTTCCTAACTTTCAGCAAAATTATTGTGGAACACCTTCCGAAATCGAATAAAACATAGAGGCCAATTTTTACCTTTTCAGCGTCTTCGAAGATTTTACATAGAGTTGATTCTGGTTCACCAACTGCTTTGGACATGATTTCCGGTCCATTAATTAAAAAGAATAATCCACCTGCTTCATTTGCTATAGCACGTGCAATTAAAGTTTTACCTAAAATATCGAATCTCTTTATTTGAACAAAATCTATCATTTGTTTTTTTTGTATACCTGTGCCTGGTGGTCCATAAAGAAGAATACCACGTGGTGGTTTAACACCAATTGTTTTAAATAATTGTGTATGTCTTAATGGTAATTCAACCATTTCTTTAATTTGTGCTAATTGTTTTCTCAATCCACCAATATCATCATAACCAATTTCATTTAAAGATGCTTCTTCTTCTTCACGTTTTATTGGATCACCTTCACAATGTATAACTGTATCTGGTGCAACAATACAATATGGTACTGGATCAGTTTCAATTACTTTAAATTCTACAGCACGCATAGCTGCACGTACAATAAAAACATCACCTATTTTAACTGGTCGATATCCTTCAACAAAATATGGTTTTAAATAAACTTCAAATAAATTTCCTGTTATGCCTTGTACAGTATCATCAATAGGTAAAACATGTATACGTTTACCATATTTAACATCTTGACATCCCTGAATTGAAACAATATCACCGGATCGTACACGTAAATTGTTTCGTACAACACGATTCATTCGTATATAATCATTTGGACAAGTATCATCAGCTAGGATAATACATATTGTTTCATGACGTTTTTTACCTTTAAGTAAAACAGTATCACCACGAAATAATAGTAATTCATCCATTTTTTTTTGTGATAATGCAACAACACTATTATCATCATTGACAGCATCAGTAATAATTAAACGATTTGGACGTTTTTTTTTATCTAATATTGCTGTCGCATATCTATATTCCCAAATATCACCAAGTCTAGCCATTTGTGTTTGATTTTTTCAACGAAATGAAAAACTTTATATAAAATCTAGAAATATAAAATCTATTTATAAATGAATAACGATAGAGAAAATATCGTTAAATGATATTTTTATGACTACTTAGTTGATATTAATGAAATGGGATATTATTTTGAAATAGAAAGATTTATTGTATGAGTAAGTATTGCTGAATCTGATAGAGATATTTGACCAGATAGAAATTTTCATGATCAAAATGAAGAAGAAAATCGACGATTCTAAATAAAGAAGAGAACAATTTGCAGACAATCATTTTCAAACAAAAAAAAAGGATTTTAAAATACATTTCTGAAAATCAAGTATACTATGTATTCGCGTTGCTTTCTGTGAAGAAAATATATGATAATATTTTGGTTTATTTAAGAAGTATATTAGCGAAGCCTTACAATTGAAATTAGTGCTTGCTTAAACTTATTTCGTGTAAATAATTATATATGAAAAACATTATTTTCTTGTAAGCAAAAAAAAAGAATTAGTCTTAATTATAAATATTTTCTTATTGTAAAATTTCTGTTTTATTTAAACCATCAATATTTGAATGATATTGATTAGGTAAAATTGTTTCTCCATGATTTTCATTTTGTACATGATATATATTTGATTCATGTTGTCCTTCAATAGTTATTGATTGTTGTATATTAAGATGAGTATAATTTGCTTATAAATGATTCGTATTTATTAATGATGAATGAGGTGTTGTTTGCATTTGAATCATTTGCATAGAAGAGAGGGTCCATGAATCAATCGAGCAATTTTTAGGGACCCATACTCTCGAAAATTTTCACCCCCTCATTTTATTAGTGGAATCGATAGCCCATGAGGTGAAACTACTAAATCCAAAATATTAGCTCGATTAATCATATAACAAGAAATTTATAAGGACTACACTGACGACTACTCAGTGATTTAGTTAAAATCGCTACTTTTTAGTGTGATCCTCATATCTCCGTCAAAATATAGCCTATTTCCCAACAATTATACACCATTCGATAGCACATCGAACGCTCTACAAAACTAGATATATGACAGGATTAAATTAAACATTAAGATAAAACTTTTCATCAAAATACTGAAGTATAGTCGTCAAGCAAAAGTCAGTATTTTGAG